CTCATGCTTTTCCCAGGACGCTCCATGCTGCTGCTGCTGCTGTTCCTCCAAGACCTGGGGAGAGTGAGCAGCAAGGCCGAGAACAGGGACCACCGCATAAAAAACCATTCCGCCGTTTTCCTTTTGTGTCCCTTTTTGGGCCCTGAGGCCAGACAATGGGCGGGGCTCCTGGTCCCTGCACCCTGGAGGTGACGGAGAGGATGACGAAGAACAGGCGCTGGCCTGACAAGGGGCGGCGGGTGTGAACACAGGGCTCCTGGCGGCCGCCACCAAGGGGACATGCAATTACAGAAAGCTACGGGCCCGGAAGAGCGGTGTCTGCGAGGGACAGGGAGCTGGCGTTTCTCTCAGCTCACTTGCTCTTATTAAAATATTCTGACGCCGACTCTTTTGCAAGCGTGTAGGGCACACATCCAGGGAGGCCCATCTGACTCGGGGGTGATTGCAAGGCTGGAGAAGTTGCTTGTGCCAGACACATCGAGCGAGGTGCCGCGTGCAACCTGCCTCGTTCTCCGCGGCCCCCGTGTTCCAGAGGGAGGGGGCGTCCATGTATATGCATAAGTGGGGCTGTGCTAAACATGCCAAGTAAAAATACTTTCAAATATTTCAGTACCTCATTAACCAAATACATTTCGGTGGGGCTCATTCCAGCTGATGAAAATACAGGAGGCAGGCGATCTGAAGTCCGAGGACATTCGGGGCGAGAGAGAGAAAGGAATACGATCATACACCCGCAGGATCAGCTGACTGGCAGGCAGGTCTGACCCCTCCTCCGTTGGACTTGTGTTTGCTGTGCACCTACTGTGTGCCAGGCGGGAATAGCTCTGCCTCATGGAGGTTAGTCCAGCTTAAGGGAAAGATGCCACACTCGCATTCGTGTTTAATCGGCGCTGTGATCTGCGTGGTCGAGGAGTAGGGCTGGAGGCTGTGGGAGCCGTGGGAAGGGGGGCTGCCCAGCTGGAGAGCTGAGGAAGGCTCCTCGAGGAGACAGCCTGGGCAGTGTGTGCAGGGGGCGGGGGTGTGCTGCACAGCAGAGTGCCCGCGATGGAGAACCTCCACGGTGGCCGGCCACCTGGCTGGAGCAAGTGTGGGTGGGGTTAGTGACGGGTTGTGAATGGGAAGGGGTCTAGTCCACGAGGCCCCCACTCGCTCGGGTGCTCTCCCTGAGCTGGAGTCGTGAGGCCAGCGACCGCAGGCAGCTGATGGTGGGGTCTAAGTTGAGAGGTAATGCAGAGGGAGGGCTGGAGGCCGCCACGGCCATCCTAGGGCTGCCAGCGAGTGCCCGCCCGTGTGAGAGGACATACAGGGGCATGGCAAAGGCTGGTCTTCGGGGACCAAGGCAGGGCAGACGTGAAGGAGACTGGTCCTGCCGTTCGGGCTCGCGGCCCCGAGGCCTCCATGCTGCATGTCCTGCTGCCATCCCAGCCCTCTGGGGCCTCTCAGTCCCCACTGCCCCCGCTTTCCTTGAGCTGGACCCCGGGGTTCCTCTTCCCAGGAAACAGTGAGGCACAGGACAAAGGGGCAGTCAGGTGCCAGGCTGTTTACAGCAGCAATCCAGGCCAAGGCGGGTGAGGGCAGCCTCGGAGGGAGAGGCGAGGAGGGCTGGGCACGCTGTCAGCGCGGAGGGAATGTTTGTTACCACCTGTCCCGTCCCTGTCCCGGCTGTGAGCGGCTGAGGCAGGCACTTCTTCCCGTCTGTGCCCAGCACCTGAGCGCGCCTGGCGTGAGCCGGTGCCCAGGATGCCTTTCCTGAGAGGGGCGCAGTGAGAGTAACGTAAGCAACAGCAGCCGCCCGCTTAGCGAGCGATCCCCGCGGCAGGCCGCTCCGCGTCCGTCTCACTTCATCTGTATTAACGATCTCTCGAGGTGGCGCCGTGATCATCTCCACTTTACAGAGGAGGAGCATGAGGCTCAGAGGAAGGCACGCAACGTGCAGAGGCTACCCGGGGAGCGAGCCATCGAGCTCAGATGCCAAGGCAGGTTTGGCTGGTCCCAGAGCCCCGGGCTTTGGCTACATTGCCAGTCAAACCAAGGCAGCCCCAGGAAGGAGGGCACGTAGCTCAGGCCTTCAAGCAATGGAAGAAATATTTATTTTGGCCGAAGGGTCTGTAGCGTGTATCAGACATTAAACCATGTCACGGTTAGATTTCCCCCCGGAGACAAGGGTGTGCGTGTGTGCGCTCATACGTGCTGTGCACGCCTACACGTGTGCGACCCATGCTCGCACGGGTGCAGGAGGGTGGGAAAAACTCTCCAGCCCATTTGTTCTTGCTTTGCAATTATTTTTCCCTTGGTTACTGGGAGAGACCTTCAGCTTATATCTTAAAACAGCAAAACATCTGGCTGCACAATGAACACAGCTCTTAGGGGTCAGAAGCCCCGAGATGCTGGTCGTGTGCTCGATGCCCAGGTGCCGGGCTCGAATGTCCCCTTCGCAGGTGAGATATTTGTCCCTCAAAGATGACACCAGGGAACCTCCTTCTATTGCCCAGTCTCGATGCTGCTCCTGTCTCACCACGGAGAAGCGAGGTTTCGCTCCGGGAGGAGCTGAGAGCAGAGTCTCAGTGACGAGAAGCAGCTCGTGGGCGCAGTTTACATGCAGTAACTTCATCTTCACCCACAAACTCGTTTCTTCACTTGGTGCCGGGCAACCAGAGGGCGGCCACGCCCCGGCTTTGCGGATAACCCCTCATTTGGATTCCTGTGGTCTGCTGAGGCGGGAGAAAGGCCTGGAAGATCCCAGCCTGGGATTCGCTTGTCAGAATGGGCTAAAAATAAGTCTTTTTCTCGTCTCTTTAGCTTGGTCAGCAGACCCCAGAAAGCTGGCAGACCCCAAAAAACCTCACCAAGCCCGTACTGTGGACGGGCCCCGTGGATCCCGCGTACAGGGAGCAATTTGAGAGGCAAAGCAAACAGGAAGAGCTACCCAGAATTAACAATGGGCCAGATGGTCGTGCTAGATTGAAGCAGTAAAACATGATAAATAGCTTCCTGTGGCAACTCCTGATCAATTTCAATATTTAATAATTCCACTGCCACCCCACCCCCTCATCTGGCCCCCTCCACGAGATCCTGCCATGACTCCCTGCATTCAACTCACAGAGCGAACACTTCTTTACTTTCTGAAGGCGTCAGCAAAAGCTGTCTGCTCAACTGTCACATGAGCGCTCTGGGCCTCGAGATGATAATTAATCTGCCCAGCCCTCCATCTCCGTGCCCTGCCACTCTGGTTGCCAGGGAAGGTTGTGAGGAAGCGCCCACTGCGGAGATGCAAGGGAACACTCACCTTGTGGATTCAATGAGTGTGGCTGTTCCCTGAGTTCTGCTTTTGAATTAAAGCAAGGCTGGGGGCTGGGTGGTCATCTTACTCCAGGACCAGTTAGTAGGACAAAGCAACCAAGAAGTGTACGGTGGCAGCTTGGGGTGAGAGCCTTACCCCCCAGCCGTGCCTCTGAGCCTCAGTTTCCTTCTCTGCACAATGGGGATAACCACGCCTGCCTCAAGGAGGGTTCTAACCAGTGCTACACATGTAAAGAGCCTGGCAGAGGGCTTGGCACATAAGAAATGCCCAAGATGGGCAGCCGAGAGCATCATTATCAACTGTGAAGCGGATCAGCAAATGTGGCCTGAGCGCCGAGCCTGCAGGAAGGGCCTGCTGGTCCCTGCGGTCAGGAGACTGTGGCCCAGGGCAGACCACAGGTGTGCACAGGATCTGCAGGGACACCCCGCTGTCAGATGGCCCACCCCAGGATTCTCCCCAAGTGGTGCCTACTAATAAGGCTAGCTGCCTGTACTGCCATGGAGGGCTCCAGGGGCTTTCACACCCACTGACACAGGAGGCCTCGGGCACCCTGGAGAGGAGGCGTCGTTGGCACCATTTACAGGTGAGGAAATGGGGATTAGGAGGTGAAATGGCTTTTCAAGTTTATGGCCTAGAAAAGGCATAGTCAACTCCAACCTGGATCTCCCACACCCGACTTCATGTCTTCTCCGCCAAAGCACGGTGGGGGTGGGGAGTTGCTCCCAGGTGCCCCCCACTCTGTGAGTGGTCGGAGCTGCCAGGTGACCTGAGCTGCAGCTTACTCATTGTGAAATGAGGCCGGTGATACCTACTGCATGGGGACATTTAATGAGGGAATATGCATGAAAGTACTTTGTAATTTCGTGAGGAGCCATAGAAATGTGAAGCATGGTTATTACGACTTTGTAGAGATATACCCTTTACGAGCAAAAAGATCAGAAATTCATCCGCCTAACAGTGGATCCTTCTAACTGACGCCTTGATGCCACATAACCTGGAGGATCGGGAGCAAACTTCTGTGTGGCCTTCAAGGCTCAGCAGCTCCTGCAATCCCATCTCCACCCCTTCTCCCCTCCCTTCTCACTCCAGCCCACCTAAACCACTTGGGGTTCCCTGAGCCTTTCAGGGATGTCGATGCCTAGACCAAGCGGCACCCCTGCCGCAGGCGTGTCTGTCCCACCCTGTTCACCAGCTGATCAAATCCCCAGTTCTCCAGGCCATCTTCTGAGGGAGTCCCTTGATTAGGAGCACCTCCCTAGGGTGCCCCGAGGGCCTCCCTGGGTACCCCAAGGGCCTCTCTGCCTTTCCTCCCACAGCACACACCCCACGGCACTAGCGTTGTGTTCTCATCTGCCTCCCACTTGGCAGTGAGCTTTTTCAGGGCCTGGCCCAGCATGTGCTCGGCGAGAGTGTGTGGAGGGAGGAACGAATGAACGGATAACCGAGTATTTCCAGTATGAATGGAATTAAAGCCTTAAGCAAAAACAAGGGATTCTAATGGGGGAATTAGAATCTGGGTGGGCACAGCCTTATAGCAGACAGTGCCCCTGAGCTCAAATTCAGCTTAATCCCTCAAGCTGATGGAATAACTTTCTTCTTTCCCCTACCTTGACCCCAAAAGAGAGGGAACAAGAAGTGTACCACCTGCCCACCCCTGTCTGAACCCCCGCAGGGCATGGTGGGGGCCAGCGCCAGGTACCTGATTCCCGCTGGTCCAGGGTCATGGAGTTCCACCTCCTCGTGATGTCGATGTAGAGGATGTCCACGGCGGCCATGGACAGGCTGCTGCTGCTCAGCTTGCAATTCCTGCCGAAGACAGGGAGGGACATGTCACTGCTGCACCGGACCCGTCTCGTCCGTCTTGCTTCCTTGCCTTTGCCCAGGCTGTGTTCCCTGCCTGACAGGCTCTCCCTCTGTGTCTGGAACTATTGAAGGGTGCATGGCTGGGGATGGTGGGAGAGAAGACTGAGAATGTAAACTGAGGTTAGATCATGGGGGTTCCTGGAATTTGGCTAATTGGAGTTTTAATGGGCTGCAAAGAGCAAGGACTTCAGGAAGGCGAGTTTTGATTCGAACCTGGCTGTGCCACTTAGAAGCTGGATGGCCCTGGTTAAACAATTTCCCTTTCCTGAGCCTCAGTTTCCTCACCAGAAAATAGGCGATCTTTGCCCTGGTCAGTTTTCTCAGTGGTTAGAGCGTTGGCCCAAAGGACTGAAGGGTCCCAGGTTTGATTCTGGCCAATGGCAAGTACCACGGTTGCAGGCTCAATGCCCGGCCCTGGTCGGGGCACGTGCCAGAAGCAACCAATTGATGTTTCTCTCACATCGATGTTTCTCTCTCTCTCTCTCCCTCCCCCTTCCACTCTCTCTGAAAAGCAATAGGAAAAATGTCCTCAGGTGAGAATTAAAAAACAAAACAAAACAAAAACAGGCGGTCTTCATCATAGTCACAGGTGCCAGACTCCCTAGACACCCAGCATAGGTTTCTGTCTGCTCTGCAAGGGAAACGGGATGCCACAATCCAAAAACACACCCCACACATGGGCCTTCCCCTTCCCCTCCACTGGTGTCTAGAGAAGGAAGACGAGCTGGGCCTGCCGGGCCATGTTCTCCTGCCGGTTCCAGTGGCTGGTGGCAGCAGCTCAGATGACCCAGTGATAACAGCACGTCACGGGTACCCACCGAAGGTGTCACTGTGGTGCAGAAGTGGTTCCCCCTAGGAAACGCTCACCAGAAAAGTCCTGGAGCCTGATCTTCAGACAGGGACTCGAGGCCTCCACGCTTCACCCATCTTAGTCTGCCGCTTGAAGGTGTTATGTAGGCCCTGGATCAGCCACAGTGAGCCCAAGACGCACAGAGCAGGAGGCACAGGCTCCCCATGCCCCTTTGTGTGGGCTGAGGCAGCATTGCTGGGGGCCCCTTGATGCTCAGTCCTGACCTTAGGGGAGTCACCGGGAAACGATAGGAGGAGGGAGGGGGCAGGCCTGTGAGCTTCGGATGCCCCCTTAGTTTAGGAGCAGAGATGCCAAGAGAGTCAGGTTTTCAGTCCCATGTCAGCAATGGTGCCCCCCGTCCAAGTCACAGAGGGTGCTTAGAATTCTCCTCCTCCCCACTTGTTTCTTTCTTTTTACCTTTTCTTTTTTGGCCTGAAAATGTGGGGAGGCAGTCTGGCACACAAAATAGAGCAAGATTCATGCATTTGACAGACCAGGACTAAAATTCTGTAACTATGAGCAATTTATTAATTTTAAAAAATATATATTTTTATTGATTTCAGAGAGAGGAAGGGAGAGGGAGAAAGAAAGAGAAACATCAATGATAAGAGTCATTGGTTGGCTGCCTCCTGCATACCCCTTGCTGGGGATCAAGCCTGCAACCTGGGCATGTGCCTTGACCAAGAATCAAACTGTGATCTCCTGGATCCTAGGTTGATGCTCAATCTGAGCCACGCCAACCAGGCAACTATGAGCAATTTACTTAAACCCCTGAGCCTTTATTTGTTGGTCTCTGAGTGAAGATAATAATACCCACCCACGTGGCTGCTGTGAAGATGAGATGAGGAGCCCGCATGGTGCCTGGCACCTGGTTGGTCCCCGACAACTATTGGTTCCCTCCGGATCTCTCTTCCCTTCTCTCCTCTTCTGGAACTGGAACCAGCTCGGCCCCATCAGAGGCTGCCCGAGGCTGACCTGACAGTGGGTGGCCCTGTTCAGTCTGGAGAAATGCTGTTGCCAGTCACCGTGTGGGCACAGCGCTCGGCTCTGTGCAGCCTGGAGGCAGCCCCGGGCCTGGCCAGGTGCTCTGCCCTCCTGCAAGGATCCTGCTGTGAGGCGAGTCCCAACACGGGCTGGATTTGCCTGAAAGTCCTGAAAGCTAGACCTCTAGGCCAGCTGTCCATTTGTCTGAACTACATTCAAGGCTGCTTTCAACTTTCCGGACGTGTCCACATCCTTCGCCCCAGCTAATGATAAAGCGGTCCTCTGATTTTCCAGTGTCATCATCCTTGTGTGAATAGCTCCCTTAGGAACCCGACAGGCCGGGGGTTGACTGGCAAGCAAGATTTGGGCATTTCAGAGGCTCCTCTCCAAACCCACGCACCCACCAACAAGGGTGGGTGGAAGCGTGCCGGCGGGTGCTGGACAAGAGGCTGGTGCTCCCTGGTGCTCCTTAAATGCCGGCACACTCGCCCGCACCCTGCCCCCTGCTGTCCCGTGTCCCTCCGTGTCTGTGTCGTGTGCCCCCTCCCCCCCGGCCCCCAGCTGCATGCAGATTTCTCAAGCTGTCAATTCACATCCTGCTTCCTCCTGGGCTGGCTCCGTATTTCAATCACAAGTCACCATGGCAGACTTCAAAGCACATCAGCACACAGTTATTGAGCCCTAGTAACAGTGTGTCAGTGGACGCAGAGCTTGTCGCCCGTCACCAAGATGACTATCTCTATTGGGTTCTGCCGGGCGGGCGGGGCTCCCGTCCCTCCCAGAGTATTCCTACAACCTGCGCTGCTCCTTTCCGAGGCTTCATCAGGCCTGGTCACGGTTTTCTCTAATTATCATATCAGTGTCCTCTGGGCTCCCTGCTCTCCTGCAGAACAGGAGCTCGGCTGGCTTGCTCTGTGGGTTACTAAAGTATAAAGAGTGAAACCGAACTGACCACTGGTATGCAGTTATTTTTTCCCTGACAGGTAGAAAATAGAAGTGTCAAACCTTTAGCAGGAGCTGTAATTTACCAAAAAGAATTCTCCGTTTATCCCTTTTCCAAGGAAACTCATCCTCCCTCGTGCTGTCTGCAAGTACAGTTGATCGCAACATCTGCTGCCGGGACGGGAGGGCCCCATGCTGGCTGCAGCAGACAGGAAGGGCTTGAAAAGAATTTTGATTCTGTAGGCATTTTGGGGGGCACCATCTGCATGCCAGCCTTCTCCTGCCCATTAGCTCTCTGGATCTTTATAACCACTCTACGAGGGAGGTATTCTTAGTCCCATTTCAATGATGGGTAAGCTGAGACTCAGGAGAAGGGATGTGATTTGCCTAAAATTACACAGCTGGGATTCACATCTGGTCATCCCCTGGAGGGCAGAGCAGTGGACTTGGGAGCTTTGGGAAGAAGTGGGGAGGTGACTCAGCCCAGGGACCCAGGAAGAAGCCAGGATTCAAGACATAAAGTCTCAGGCGGGGCAAAGGAAAGCTGGAGCCTCTAGAGAGCCCCTGTTGGGAACCTTTGGGAAACAAGGCTGGGGAAGATGGCAAGGTCGCTGGGAGACAGGTTCTCCCAGGTCTGTCCCTGTGGTTATCAGACTCTCTCAATAGATTCCAAAAGGGAAGGCTCCGGGGCTCAAGACTTTAGAATGAATTTTCACCCACCCATCCGCTCCATGCGGAATTTGTGTCCACTACGTGTGGGCGGTATCCTGGGCCCAGCGAGTGACACAGCGCGGAGTCAGTCTCGGGTACCACTCTCGGAGGGGGAAGTGATCTAGGAGCCTGGGGCAAAAATGTGAAGCCTCAGTAGTTTTTAGTCGTTGAGAACAGTTTCCTCTTACGGCCTGGGATGCAGTTCTTCAAATGACTAAAGGATAAATTCTTCCTGAGAAGAGTCCAAGCAACATGGTACCGTGAGAAGCCAGAAAAATTCCCAGGAAAAGATGGGCTAGAAATGTACATGGGAAAAATGAGCTGTGGAGTCGAATGCAACTTGAGTCTGAATCTTGAGTTTGCTGTGTGACCTGGAGCAAGTCGCTGGTGCTCTCTGCCTCTAAACTTCCTTATTTATGCAGCAAGAATCAGGCTGCTCACTGGGCAAAAATATCTTGAGGACGAGCTCAGTGCCTGGCACGTGTGGGGGAGTGAGAAGCGCTCCCATCCTTCCTCCACGACGTAGAACCAATTTGAAGAAATATTTTGCTTCGTTTTGTTTTTAGAATCAAAGGAATTTGGGCAGAGGTGATGGGAGAGCATCACAAGTCGTTTGAGTGCATTAGGATCCCAAGTATAGTAGGGTTTGAGACGATAATCCCCATTTCCCCTCAGCAACTACTGACATCTCGTGGGAAATTTAGACACCAACGTTTCCCACTACGCAAAATCCTATTTATAGAATTTCTTTTCTGTTCATCCTTCTTTGTGCAGAAAAGGAGCTTATTTTTCCTGGAGAGGTGTCTATAAGGTGAAAGCTAACAAATGATCAATACTTGTTTTAAAAAAAACAAACCACCATCTAAACATCTAAGGGCGAGGGAAAAGGCAACTCTGGTTTATGGTGTGTATAGTATATTAAAGGCTATTGATACCTTAGGTGTAGACTCTCACAATATTGCCAGAAGAGATCATCAAAGAGGGGGATTTTCAAAGTCGCCCGGGACTTAATGACAGAGGAGAGGCAAGGCCCCTTACGCTTCCATTCCAGAACATTCTCAGGCACTATGAAGCTTCTCAGAGAATAAAATCCCCCACAGCTACCTATTATGAAGCCTATTAATATCTCCTTATGAGAAAAGGGGGCAGAAGGGGGGGAAAGGCAAAAGAGAAAACTATTCTCTAATTTAAAAGGAGACCAGGATCAGAGGCACAGAGGGGATGAGCAGGGATCTCCAAGTGGATCAGCCCGCCCGGGGCAGCAATGCTCAGGGGGTGGGCCAGCTGCCTCCGTTGCCTAGAAATCAGCCCGGTCCTGGCAAACTGTTCAGTTTCCAGGCTCCAGAGGTGGAAATGCAGCGCGTGCGAATTGCTGTCAAACCCCACTGGGGGACACGCTCGGAAACCATCGTTCTTAGTGAATTACACAGGACGCCCCCCAAATTAGCAATCCAGGCGCAGGAAAACAGCAAAAATGCGTTTCCCTCAAAGGAAGCTGTCAACCTGAGGCATCACATCGTTTCTGTTTCTCAGAGAGAGAAGAATCCCCACACCCCAGCAATTATTAGGAAATAAAAATAAAAAAGAGACAGAGAAAAGAGGCACTTAATTCATGGTGATATGTGCTACTATTATGTGCCTCCCGAGGAAATGACACGAGGAGCTGGTTAGACAGAGTTACGTCTAGACAAGAGGACGACAGTTCATTATTTCTCATCTCCCGGTGGAACAGAAAAATAGGACATGGCCGGAGCGGTATTAGCATAATTCACTCCTGAAACTGCTGATCTGCGCAGCACACTGAGAGGTGGTCACTGGAAATAAATCCAGCCGGAATGTTTACTATTTGGTTCCCTCCAGTTCCCTTCGAGGAACTTGGAGAGAGAGTGGGTAGCGGAGATGAAAGCCAAACTCAGCCTCTGCCGTGCGTGGGCCCTAAACCGAGGGCCTACCAGCCAGCGTGTGTGTCTCCCAGGCAGTGCTCCAGAGAGGGGCACTTGGTTCAATTTAACATATGGTATAAATATTATTAATTCATAATGAATCGAAATTTAAACGAAGTGCAAAGGAGAGAGGGAGAGAATAGTTGTTAGCGAGAGAAAATGCTCGCTGTTAAATTTAGCTGGCAAGGCTGAACATACTCAGATAAATCCGAAGGCAGAGAGCATCGTTTTTTATGATTAAGCTGCTGTTGGGATCTCTTGGTACATTTGAAAAAGGAAAAATCTATTAATGGCCGTGCAACGTTTTCCCCATTTCTTCCTGCATCTTAATTACTCAGGACATTTGCTGCTGGGTGTGCATGTGTGTGCGTGTGTGTGTCTGTGCGTGTGTATGCGTGCCCACGTGGGGTGGGGGGCTCATTGTCTGAGTCCCTCTGCTCCGCGGCCGCTATCCCACCTGGAGACATTGTGCTCCCTCCTCACGGTCACTGTCTCTCCCACTGACACAGATTGGGAGTGACGGCCGCAGGACCTAACAGTCTAACATCACAAAATCGGTTTTTCATGCAAATGCCCCTAATTATAGAGAACAAAGGGATGGGAAAGCATAAAGCTGATCACACAGAGACAGATTTGTAGCGATATTTCTGACATCACCCCGTTCGGGTCTGAGAGCGGTTTAGGAATCTTCTTGGCTAGAACCGTTCCCAATTCTGTTCCCAGGGCGGTGTATGGACACAGCAGTCGCTTAACGCGCGCCCTGGCTTCTCACACCAGAGGTCACACGCTGATGGTCCCTACGGCCAGTCATGTTTTGCCTGAACCCACACGGGGTTTAAAAATTAGTTTCCGAATGGCCAACACTGACCTGCATGTATTGAGGTTTTACATAGAAATCAGTAGTTCTAGTTTCTCTTGAAAAACCCAAAGCTCTGGGGCTAAGGGCCCAGCAGGGCCTTTCCTTCCCCAGAGCGAGCTCTCCAGGCTGCCAGGCCCCAGCCTCGCCTCCTTCCAGATCCAGCCACTGGCTTGGGTTTGCTTCCCGCCTGCTCCCAGAGGCAACTGAGATGGTGATTCTTACGGTACACTAGTTTTTCTGATCTCCCCTCTCTCTTCCATTTTAGTCGAATTTTATTAGAATAAAAGAAGCATTTCAGTTTCTACCATCAATTTAGCTTGGATGATAAAACTTCTCTAACTTCGGATCATGAGCCACTCATGAGGGCCATTCTTGGGCTCTCCCTGCTGCCTGGACTGGGTACCCCCCTTTAGTCCCAGGCAAACTCCCGCTTATAACAGTCCAAACCCTGCCTCCTCTGGAGGGGCCTGCCTTGATTCTACCAGGCGGACGAAGGGTCCCCTATTCTGTCTGCTACCCCATGACTCTGCCAAAGGATTGCATTTAATTATTTGTTCCCTGCCTGCTGTTAGACTGAGAGTCCCTGAGGGCAGGCGGGGTTCCATTCTTTATCTCTGATTGTCCTATGGCAACCAGGTGCTCAGGGGACATTATTAGGTTACACCAGGCTTGGCCCTTTCCCGCAGGAGGTTGAGACAGAGCAGGTCTCCCAGGGCCAGGGTCTCCTGCAGCACCCAAGCTGTTGTCCACACGAAGCCCAGCCACCCCTCACTCTGTGGGTCTTGAATGGATTCTGTGCAATGGTGCAGGGGCTGGGAAGGGCCCAGACAGCTCCTGCCTTTGCTCTGGAAGGTCTGAGCCCCTGGACGTGCCATGCTGAGAGAAGACTGCTTGCCCTCCTCATCCTCTGGGTCCCTGCACACTTCCATGGTGCCCCAAGAGCCCGCATGACTTGGGGCCTGTCACTGAGCTGTCTCCCTATGTCCCAAGCCACAGGAATCACAAAGGGGCAGAGGGTGTACACAGTCAGAAAAATTCTATTTCCCAGCTTCCCATGCAGATGGCAGTGGCCAAGAAGATAGATGGAAGTGGAAGTCACGGGATACAGCTTCTGGAAAGCTTTGTAAAGCAGCCTAACTCACTTGGCAGAGGCCTTTGGCTCACCCTCCTCTCTTCCTGTCTCCTGCCTGGAACTTGGCCACGATGGCCGGAATTTGAGCAGCCACCTTGTGACTGCAAGCAACTCTACAGCTGGAAGCCCATGCTTAGGATGGATGAACAGAAAGACAGAAAGTGGGGTGTCGATCGCTTTGTGGAGTCATTAATCAGCCCTAGAACCCCCCACTGCTAAGCTTCCTGTTGTATGACAGAAAACTAATCACACTATCTAAACCATTTATTTATAGGTGGGTATCCATTACTGCACTTCAAATGCAATTCCTAAATGAGTCAGAGGGTATCATGTTAGGTGGCATTCTCAGGGAAATAACAACATGTATCTTTGTTGAAAATTTCCGCTGCCTAATGGAAACAATCATCATCAGACTCCCATTTAACAAACAGCTCCCCCGAACTGGGCACTGGGTCAGCTGTTTTATGACATATTACATCCCAACCCCATAATAACCGTGCAAGGCAGGAGAGATTGTCCCCATTTTACAGATTAGGGAACTGAGACGCAGAGGAAGGCAAGGGACTTGCCCGAAGCCACACAGTAATGCGCGTGGCGTTGAAGCCACACCCGAAGGCCTGTGCTCTTCCACGGGGCTTTCCTTTTGCCCCCGAAACTAACACAAAGCCCTTCTCAAAATCACCGAGCAGATACTCCTTCAGGGTTACTGAAATGGCAAAAATTCCTGCTGCTGCTCCTGTTTATCACCCTATCAGAGGGCTAGAGTTAGAGTTTGTAAAATTCACTTAGAGAAAAGTGGGTCAAAAGTGGTTTCCGAGTCAAGACTTCTAATTATTTGCTTTAGTGAATAAACCATGAAGCGCGCGGCTTTGAGGTGCAAGGTGGAAACAGTAAAACCGATGCTGGGAAAACCACGGCAGCATCGCACGCTGGCAGGTGGCTTCTCGGAGGCGAACAATGCACTATCCCAGGGTGTGGGCAGCTTCACCCCGTTTTATAGGACACTGAGGCCCGGAGATGGTCATTAACTTGCCCAAGGGTTACGCGGCTAGTAAGTGCTCCTGTATTTCCCCCAAGTGCCCCAGGGTAGAGGCAAATAACGAATTAAGGAGATTAAGTGGCAATGGCTTATTTTGTAGGCATCAGCAAAAACCTCATCTTATCTTTAAAATCATGCAAAATGTGTATTACACTCGATAATATAACTTCGTTATCTTTATAGTAGAGCAAACGTATTAAATTATTTATGGACTGAATTATTTAACTTTTCTCTCCTGAAACTGACACTTTGGGAAGATGTGCCTTGTCCCTCGGCTGTGGCTCAATAAATGCTCCACCCGCAGCCATGTGCCGCTAGGACAACGTCAGCCCAGCTTAAGAAGCCCAGGTCTGTCTGAGTCCAGGGGGGAATTATTTGTATGTGGTTTAAGGACCTCGTCCAGAGTAGCACAGAATTGTTTTTAAACCACAGCATAAAGTCGTGAATGCTGTCAAAACATCCATTAATTCATTCAACAGATAAGACACTGGGCCAATCCAGCCCCAGAGGGGCCACCGACCCAGCACCACAGACCCTCCCAGGACCCGTCGGGCAGATAGGACCAGCCAGATGCGGGGCTGGACGCAACCCTGCCCGCAGCCCAAGCTGGAGGGCTGGTCTCACTGACCTTATGAAGGTACGGAAGCCTGTTGGTCCCAACTTCATTGTCCCCTTGATTCCCAGGAACCGGATAAACAAGTTGGCCATCCTGTCCACCAGGCGCAGGTAGTTGAACTGCTTGGCGTACTTGGGGAACACCTGCTTGAGGCAGATGGAGGGCAGGCGGGCTTCAGGATTGGGGTTGCCTGCCGAGGCATTGGCCAGATCGCTGTCAGGAGGATCTTCCTTCCCAGCTAATGGGTTCTCCAGCTGCTGAGACCTGAGCAAACAGAGAATGAACGATTGAACCAACGACTGCAGCGGGCGTTACAGCAGACGGAGCACTTTCTCTTGCATAGTCTCCTTTCCTTTAGATTTGCAGTGACCTTGGGAGGTGGGTATTGCCACCATTTTTATTGCACAGACCAGAGAAGTGACCTGCCCATGCTCACAGAGCCAGTGCATGCCAAAGCCAGGACCTGAACCCAGGACAGAGCCGGACTGGAAACTTACGCTTCCCCTGTCCTACCATCCTGGTTTCCCAGCATGGACAGCTTCCTTTACTATACGTACTCGTGATTCAAGAAATACTCTATTATGGAGCAGTCTGGGTTTGATTTTAAACCCCTACTTATGGGTAGTAATTGAATAATTAAGAAATGTAAAAATCTCATTGAGGGCTGGCAAGAAGCCAGAGGCGCAGTTCAGTGAGCAGTTTGCAAAGATACGTCAGCTATCCGACTCTAGGAACAGGCACAATTACGTTCTCTGGCTTTAACTATTTTCTTATTTGGAACTCGTACAACAACAAAAAATGATTATAGTGTTGTGATTCCTTAGTCTGGATGTTTTATCCTGAAATTACTCTGATATTCCAGAAAATTCAACAGTGTAGATGGTTCTGGGGACACACATGCTCCCTCCTGCGAAGGGGAGCAGCCCGATCCCCCGGAGAAGCCCGGGTTCCTGGGGCGAGGGGGGGGCGCGCAGCTTTCCTGCAGCCAAACTGGCTTCATCTCCGTCTCCTTCAGCAGGAAACAAAAGTCAGGTGGTCCCTTCTCAGATGAATAAAATGCTCTCCTATGAAGGCCATAGGGAGAGAGATGAGAAAAAGGAAGCGGCACTGCTACTGGAAGTTAGTTCTTATGTTACTGGGTAAGCGGTGCTCAGGGACTTCATAAGCGTCGTTAAGCTTCTGTTAACAGGAAGATTGGGAAAGGCGCAGGGTCACACTCAGTGGCCGGGAAAACAGCTCCGGGGACAGGCTGGTCAACACCCGCCCCGCCTGCACGGCCACATCTGCCCTCACACAGCCCTGTGAAGCAGGCTGTGGTTCTTATGCCCCCGTTCCAGATGGAGAAACTGAGGCACAGCAGGGCTGAGCCCCTCTGTGCCCTGGCTGACTCCGGATTATAAACTGGTTTTTCTGAACCAGCGCTCGCTCCGTTTCGCCATCGCTCGGCAGCACGTCATATCCGCGCCGGGGGTTACAAATCCTAAGTACTGCTATTTATTGTTTGCTATAAATCGTTTTTATCGATTCTAACAGTAATTCATGCCCTTTGCAGATGACTTGAGGAATGTATAAAGGAATCAAAACCATTTGTAATCCCACGAGGCGGGGATGAACAGTATTAACGTTTTGATTTATCTGTAAAGTTAAGATCACATGACACGCAGCTGAAATCCTTGTTGCACGTTACAAGCATCTTCCCGTGGCACCAAGTACGTTTCCAGGAGCGCAGTTTCTCATGGATGCTTAACGCTCCCTATTATGCCCGAACCGCCACGTAGCAAGCCATCCCCCCAGTCAGGGAGTGAGGGTCTACGTGGCCCAACTTTGGCTCAATAGTCGGATGACCCAGGCGATGTGCTCCCTCAGAAACAACACACGCCACTAGACACAGCCTTGGGGTCATTCTGTCCAAGACGTCACCTGTTTTCTTTATTATGGTCTAATGTACAGAACATACACTCGCCATTTTTAAACATTTCGAAGTGCACAGTTCAGCGGCATCTAGTGCCTCCAGGATGCTGTGGAGGCCTCCCTAGTTCCGGAACAATCTCACAGTGATGTCATGTTAGAGAAGAAACCGCAATCCTAGATAGATGGGAACATCAGCACCAACGGGTCATTTAATCGCAGATCCTCCAGCATGGTGGCTTTAGCTCAGGTTGCCCTGGTGCTGGGGACCTTCCCACCTCCAGGGGACCTCTCAGGTCTTCCTGATGGCATGTCAGAGGGTGTGTCCCATCCTGCCCCCAGAGCCACATAGCCTCTTGCATTTCTCTCCAGGGCTGCTGCACTTGCCGGATGCCCACCGTTCCCCTTCCTTCCTGCACCCCAGTTAGTAACCTCAAGATGAGAAGGGCCTTTGGAGACACAGATGCCATTTTCACGGACTCAAAACCACAAACTCAGAGGGGAAGGGTTTTACTCAAGTGGAAGAAGGCAGTAAAGATACAGCTGGTATATCAGAGGAAATAAAACAATGAGAAATAGTTATCTTTGCTGGAGATAATTTCAGTTATCATGTTGAGATCCAGGTTATCACAAATACTGTAAAATCCTGTTTTCACTTAATAGTATTTTAACGGAAGTGTCGGACTTATGAAATAGATGTGACTGGTAAAGAAAATATAAATCAAGTTTACTAGTCCTTTGGGGTAGTTTTTTAAAATTGAATTTGGTGTGTCCTTGATTCATTAAAATAGGGGAAAGAATCCTGGAATGGTTTATTTATTATTGTTTTTCAAATAAAATGGAATTATTTTTTATTAAAACTCTTGTGAAAAAAACACCTAATCTCTATTTTGCCTGGCAAGCCGACTGTCAAAAATCACCAGTATATACTGGGGACCTGCTACATATATTTCAAGCAGTGTGCCAAGCAACTTACCTATATCATCTCATTTGTTCCTCATAACAATTCTGTGAGGTAGGTAGAAACTGGTCGCATTTTACAGATTAGGAACCTGAGGCCCAGAGAACTTGACTACATGCCCAATGTCACAAATCAATAATGGAATCAGAATTTATACTCAGGGCTATCTTCCTAAACACTCTATGCTTATATAATTCTTGTGCTAATTTGATTTAAATCAAACCAAAGACTTTTCTCCTTGTGTAAAAGCTGTACATATTCCCAGAAATGAGTAATAGAGAAACACAGACAAAGCAAGGTAAAGTTGCCAAGTCAGAGAAGGCACTCGAATTCTCTCAGAGAAATAATTTCCAATTTTAGTTAAGCATCCCTTCAATAATTTATTCACTCATGAACCACTTCCCAAGCACTTACTGTCCCAGGAGCCTGGGATACACAGGTGGGGTGCACACAGTCCCCCACCCAGGAGCGCTTGACCCGGTGGGGAAAGACAAGCTCCATCCGCAAACAATCCCAGCTGAGGGAGGTGGGAGTGGCCAGGGCAGTGTCTAGAGGTGGGGCCCAGAGCGTGGGAGGAGGGGGCTTGCCCCCAGAAACAGGCGGGCATATGACCTGAAAGCCCTCGTGGGCTGGGTCTGACAGGATCTGAAATGTCAGACGACGGGATCTGGGTGTGGTTGGTGTAGGCCGCAAGAATGAGGTGGGTTTTAGGGAGGGGAGTGGCAAATGAGAAGAGCAGTGAAGAAATGAACCTGTCGGTGGTGTGGACCTGGACCGAGGTGGGGGAGGGATGACGTCAGGAAGCTCTTGGAACAGCCTGAGCCCATGATTCTGAAAGTGCGGCCCCTGGACCAGCAGCCTGGGCATCACCCGAGAGCCTGTTAGAAATTCATGTTCTTGGCTCCACCCCGACCTCGGGACTCAGAGCCTGTGAACGGGCCAGGCACTCCATTTCAGGGAGCCCCGCAGTGATGCTGATGCCGGCCAAAGCCTAGCTGAACGATGACTTTGGTACCTGCTCGACCATGGGGGACAGAAAGGGAGCAAACGCCCTGCCTCCTGTTCCCGGCAGGAGGGCCTGGTGGGCCGTGATGCTGTGCTGGCCAAGGGAGGTCAGCCGGCTTCCTTCCCCATGGTTTGGCCGAGGCCTGTCCCCCAGTCACTTGGAATTTCAAATGCACACTGGCAGTCCTGAAGAAACTGCTAGCTAAGCACCACAGAAGTCTCTTAAGTTAGCCTAGCAGCTAATTTAAGGAGTTGGAGAATGGAGTCACCAAAATAAACATAACTACCGAGTTGCTCAGCTCTGTCACTTGATGAGTGTCTGCCATCACAGAGGCCCCATTTGCTTGATGGCGGGCGATGCTATTTGAAGAGAAGGCGACAGACTACAGAACGGGCGAGGCATGTGTCTCCAAACTGATGAGAGAAGGGACTGAATGAGGGCTCTTCATCTGATGTTCAAGTCCCTAGAAGACCCAGACCCGCACTGGGTCTGTCCCCACCTGCTCCCCCCCTTCATGCCGCCGGCCTCTGAATGCTCACCGGGCCGCCTCCGCCTCGCTTGGTGGCCTTCCTCCAGGGTAAAACACCGTGCTGACGGTGTTGGTAGCATTTACTATGTGCCAGGAACTGCAATTTTTAAAAAAATTAATCTTGATAAAATCCTATGAAGTTGGTGTTATCATCACTCCCATTTTACAGATGAGGAAACCAAGGCACAAAGATATAAACTAACAGGTTGTGGATCCGGGACGGAAACCCAGGCAGGCGGAGAGGCCTTGTTTCTGACCACTGCATGGGAGTTACCCGGTACCGAGCACCTGAGGGCCAGGTGGGTCACTTGTCACATCTCCTTTGACCCTGGCAGTGATGCAATAGATTAGGTGCCATAAGTGGCCCCACTGGCTCCATTTCTACTGATGAGACAAATCCGTTTCAGAGAGGTTAAACCACTTTCTGAAGGCCACTCTGCTATTAAATGGTTGAGTGAGGATTTGAACCTGGATCCGTTTGAGTTCAAAGCCCAGGTGCTTTCCACTCTGTGGTGCTACAGCTCGTGGTGGTTGCGCAACTTCTCTGAGCTCATGTCCTACTCCTCACAGTGGCGAGAAGTCTCTGACTTAGGGGGCGGTATGCGGCTTACGAGGGAGGGCACTGAGCCTAAGCCTAGCACAAAACTCTTGCCTTGTTTAGGATAAAAAACAGCCTTTCGAGAAAGCACCCAGAGGAATCTGCTAGGGGGGCTTGTAACTGACCTCAGTGTGATGATCTGATGACCTGATGACCTGGGAGGGACCAGCACTTATCTGAGCGGGGCTCTTCCATTGCGACTGCCAAACAGATGAACCCTATTTACAGTTAGGGCTCACACCAATCACTGACGCGTGGCGTT